AAGACGTATCTACGATTCTCATTTTGGTGGCTCGTTCACCCAGAGCATCCGGAGCTCTGCACCGTGGAGCCTAGCAACCTCCACGAGACCGTCTGTATTGTCTGTCTGTAACCGCAACTCAAGCAAGTTTTCCAGCCTACACCACTGCCATCTCGGTGTAAGTAAACAATCTTTAAAACTACCGATACGCGTTTGTGCCTAATTCCAGCTCGACGGCCTCCCCTCTCCGACCCGGCGTGCCCGGGCTGCTGGCCACAGCCCGCATGCAGCATGGAAAAGGGCTCGGGTCGCTCCCGCCCCGCACAGGTCAGATTGGTATGGACTGCAGGGGTTTCTGCTTTCCTCTGGAGCAGGGGGCATGACTCTTCCTTGGATCTCTTGAGCATATTTTAGCAACCCTTGTAAGAGCAGGACATCGGCTCCCTGCTTAACATGTGGCAGATTGGGGTGCTGTGTACTGTGGCTGTGACAGTCGCCTTTAATTTTAGTAATAGGTTAGACGAGGATTTGCTTAGGATGATTTAAGGAGGATCCTGTCTCAGGCAGAGGTTTGGACTAGGTGACCGCCAGAGGTCCCTTCCAGACCTACTTTTTCTACCACTCTGTGATTCCAAGTTGCAGCTTTCCTTCTCCACATAGCAGCTGACTGACTTTCTACAGCTCTAGGTTGGTTTCTTTCTTCAGTGATGTGCATTGGAGAGAAGAGAGGCATTTTAAGCATTAGGAGTTGATTAGGATCTTCATGTAGTATATACAAAATGTACGTAAAATGATGATGACTAAAACCAGTAGCATTCACAATATTATTTTTGTTTAACTTTAGTTAACGTTAATTAAGATGGATTTATTCTAAGGCTGTATAAATGCTATGATTACTGTTAATATCCTCATCTTTTTATAAAAGCTTTTTTTTTTTTTTTTTTTAAACTAGCGGTATTTCCTTGTTGGCAGCAATCCTGCAGAAACCAAATATCGTGTTTTGAAAATTGATCGCACTGAACCAAAGGATTTAGTTGTGATTGATGATAAGGTACGAGCTTCTTTATTTAGGACAACTGGAAAACTTACATATGAAGAATGTTAAGTATGTCAAACTGCTTTGAATTTCATGTGTGTTATTGGTTTCTTAACGTAATTTCAAGTCTCCAAAATTTTCTATTGCATTGGGCTAACTTCTTTATTATATTTTCGTGTCATTCACTTGTTAGTCATGAACTCCTCCCACTCAAGCAATAGTTGTTTGTTTTTGTTTTATGTACAATTATATCATTCCTAAATAAAAATAACTCCCTCAGCTACTTCTTAATAAAATATTTGGATAGCTTTTGTTTGAAATCAGTATAGATCTGAAGGAAGGTCAACATGGGCAATGAGTCCAAAGCTGTACAAAACAGAGTAACACCTTGTACCTCTCTGAGACTTCATGGTTCCAAGCCTTAGTCATATTTAACTCGACTTACTTCAGAGGGAGTATTCATGCTAAATGGGAAATGCATGTGCATAATGTGCAAGCATATATCTTTTTCAGTAAAAGGGCATGAATCTTCAGTCCTGTAAAGGCATCAGCCTATTCCAAGTACCATTCTACTCGGTAGAAATCTGCATAGGTAAAAGGATCTTTTGGTAGTACTAGGGCCTAAGAAATAGAGACAGCAGTTGAAAGTACAGAAAGCACCAAGTTGCCATGTGGTGGATTAAGACAAGTTTTTTTTCCCATTCCCTTTAAAATCCCCTGAAATCCACCACTCAGATGGATAGAGAGTAGTGTTGAAAACATTTGAGAGTGATAAGGAGAGATAAATTAGTATGGGGAAAATGTGAACAACTAATTATTTTCTATAGCTATGATGCAAAGGTTTGTAATTTAAAAAAAGCTATATGTTGAAAGGGCAGATTCTAAATTTGTAAATAATTTGTCTAAGACAAACACTGCATCAGCTTATGTCCTTGGCTGTTTCATAGGGCTGTTCTTGGGCTGAATCTAACAATGAAGATCAGTTCCCAAAATATGAAAGCCATGATGCCTTCTTTAGTCGTAATTCTACTCTAAAAAGTGCCATTAAACAAGTAAATTTTACCTTTGTGTGCTGTTAAACAGTACTGACAATTAACGGGGTGTGCTAATTATGTATTTCTTTTTTAAGCATGTATATACACAACAAGAGGTGAGGGAACTTCTTGGCCGCTTAGACCTGGGGAACAGAACAAAGATTGGACAGAAGGGCTCCTCTGGGTTATCTCGAGCTGTCTCTGCTTTTGGTATAGTAGGTAATGGTCTCTTTCCTTTACTTTTTATTTTTAAGAAAGTAGAGGCAGGCATAACAGCAGCAATTGTCACATTGTACAGATATTATGTTAACAAATATTAACAAAGTATTTTTGCACTTTCTGCTGTGTTCTGTAGATGTTGTATATCACACTTGTACAGATATCAACCAGCAAAATGAAAGTGAATTTTAAAATGTCAATCCTGGGCATCTTCTGCTGTCATCAGTATCACCACTGGAAATTAATAGTACACAAGTCATGCAGGAATTTTCTGAGTCAGCAAATCAGCTAGAACAGATGTGAGCAAAATGCGGCCCGCCAGGCTACTCTATCCAGCTCACAGGGCCCCTAAAAAATTTAGAAAATTAATATTTATCTGCCCCTGGCTGCCTGTTATGCGGCCCTCAATGGCTTGCCAAAACTCAGTAAGCGGCCCTCCGCCTGAAATAATTGCCCGCCCCTAGGGTAGAACATAGGAATTTGCCTGATTCTGGAGCCAAGTCTAGGTTTTGGGGCATGTTGCAGTTTCATCTTTTGACCTGTTTCCTATCCTGCTTCTCCTGAAGCACCTGAGCTCACTTTCTAATGTTTCCTTAGTTGATACCTCTTGAAAGAATATTGGAAAAGGTGGCAGCCCATCCAGGCTGATTAAACCTAATTTACATTAATATGCTACCCAGTGTCTGAATCTAAAGCTCTAGAGAATGTAGAGATTGGGCTACTTTGAAAGTAAATACAAAAAACTGAGGCATATGAGAAAATGTTGCATTACTGCAAATGGGTCATTGCATGCTTATTGGAGTCGGTTTTCCTATTTGCTTTCTTTAGTTTTGGTCATTTTATTAATACCTACATGTTAATAAAAATGTGCAACTTAAATTGGGAAATATTAAATAAATTTGAGCAAAGTATCCTCTTCATAAGAGAGAGATGAATACTTTTCAGAGTACCCTGAAACTCAGGAATCTCATTCAACATTCATTTTATCTATATATGAAGTAAGTGGCAGCCTGTTTAATTAGACCTTGTTCACTGAAAATCTTGTAGTATGTTATGGTCATCTATGAAAATGAACCTTTTTGATGACAGGAAAATTGCAGTAACCTTACCTAATCAAACTAGCAGTTGATCAGTCTTTTGTGCTATTTCTAGATACCTCTGAAAAATGCTTGTAAAGGTGGCTTCTCTCTAACCATCTGCAATTATTGGTTCTCTTATGCCCTACAACATAAAGTTTGTTCCATATATATTTACCCTATCTGATGTAATCTGGATATGGTAGTTATCTAACTTATGTACTACTGAGAGAGGGAGGTTTATGTATTGGGAAATGTGTGCTCAAGAAATATTTAGGTATTCAAGTCTTTGACATACACTTTTCTGCTGCCCTGTAAATGCATGCTGGAGGAGATCTGAAAATAACATTAATCTTTGAAGATGCCATAATATGTGCTCTTTAAAAGATAAATTTGAATGAAAGCCATGTCCAAATGTCTCTTGCCAAACCACTTAAGTGAAATCATGACCCTTTCCTCTGGACAACAGAGACATTTTTCCCCAAGTTTCCCATTCCAGAGGAATGAAAAAGAATGGGTTGACTCCCTTCTCTAGGCTCCACTTGCTACTGGGAATGAAACGGACACTATATTTCTATTTTTTCTGGAAGCTGGGAAGGAGAGTAGACTTTCTCATCACTTAATTCTTTTAGCTTAGCAGATAAATGACCTTGCATTTTTCCCACTTCTACCTCGTATAAGTACAGTTTTACTCCATCCTATAATCACTTTGTAAAGCAGGTAGAATAGGGTTTGCCTCTCATTCTAGAGCCAAGTTAAGACATTTGCCATTTAAAAAAAAATGCAGAAGCCCCTTTTAAATGTAGGGGACCATACCAGGAGGCCAAAAGCTTGATTCCTGATCAAACTCTGGATAGGCAAGAATTGTATTTGATTTTGAAGAGATCCATAATGGACATTTATAGAGACAGTTCAGCTCATCAGTTATTTTCAGTAATTGAAGAATATAGGAAAAACTTTAGTTGCCATTTAAGAACGCAAGCTCAGTAGCCTAGCTGCTCTGAATGGAAGACTTTGATTTTTATTGTTGGCAGGGAGCCTTTCCCTGTGGAGGTGGAAGCAGTTTTTCCAAGGGGGCCAATAAAGAAGAAGGAACAAAAAATCACTGTACTTTAAATCACATTGCGGACTCCTGCAGTGAAAGGGAAAAACAGCAGAAGCATTTGTTCTTATCTTTTACTTTGAGCTCTGATGTAATGAGTGCGAGCTTGATTGTTTAGTTAGATGCACCCAAAAATGTGAATATTTTGACTGAATATCATCAGTTGTCTTAGTAATGTGGTTGTGTTGGTCCATGTGTTTCACATTTCTTAACCAGCAACAACTGCTCACAGAGATACATTTTAAGAAATTCCAAAGTAAATGCAACTTTACGATAAAATGTACACAGCGAAGAAGACTGTAAGAAAATAAGCTTTTAGTTCAACCAGTTATTGTAAAAACAAACAAGCAAAATATCACATACAAGAGTTTAAAATTGTGCAAAGGACTGAAAATAGTATCTGATATTGGTCTTCTGAACATTGCATTTGATCATCTCAGCTGACATCCAAATTATAGTAAATGGTATTTATTTGTTATCTGTCCTCTATTTTGAATAGGTTTTGTCAGATTTTTAGAAGGCTACTATATTATCTTAATTACAAAAAGAAGAAAGATGGCAGATATTGGTGGACATGCAATATATAAAATAGAAGATACAAATATGATCTACATTCCAAATGACTCTGTACGAGTCACTCATCCTGACGAAGCAAGGTAAATGTTGCTTTTTACTGAGGTTTGCTAGCTAATGTTGAAACTTCTATAAATTTGGCCATAAATTCTACAGACTTTACCCAGAGGGGAAAATGCATCTAAGTCATGCTTCTGCATGGGTTTGCCCACCACTCGCATCATTTGTGTCAGCTACAGCTGTACGGCCTACATGACTATTGGGAGCATGTCAACACTAATACTGGTTTATGTTTAAATGCTGTCCGTTTGAGTAGCTCTGGATTTACTATTGTCATGTAAACTTCATTGAAAGGAGTCCCTTGCATTCCACAATGTTTGTTGAATGGATGGGGAAAAAACCCAGTTGCAAAATGTTCTCAGACCAGATACACTGCTGCTGTTGTGGAGGGTACTGGGTTGGCCCAGACCAGATACACTGCTGCTGTTGTGGAGGGGACTGGGTTGGGACAGGATTGAGGCAAGAAATATGCATATATCAAGATTCAGCAAAGTGGCTTCTCATAAATGGAGCATTTTTCTTGCAGATGCTCCCTTGACAGGATGTTTCATGTACAAAGGAATATGGTCCTCTGAGATCTTATAGTCATGAACAATATGCAAATATATCTCAGCTTTATTTTTGGCAGGATTGAGAGTAATTTATTTCTAGATCACAGACAAGTAGTATAGCTAAATTTATTTACTGGTCTTGTACAGCGTGCAAATTATCTAAAGGTCACACAAATCACCATAAACTAACTGCAGACAATAAATCTAGGTAGTGATAGCTATTAAATAAATTTTGATATTATGACATAATTATAAAAGTATAATGCACATTGGTACTTCTTGTTCAGAACTAACAGGGAATATGATTGCAATAACTAAATCAAGATGTAGAGGTATATGATGTTTACTGTTTGGGATTTTGAATTAATTTGAATCTTTCCTACAAAGAGGTATTGTGGTGCTTGGCATCTAGAGAACTGCTAGGGATATGGTAGGTTGAAGTAGATCTTGGGATTTTCCTTGAGTGACAGTATTGTATCCTACAGCTGATAATCTTTGGGAGTTTGTTGGGTTAAGTACTGCCAGCTCTGGCCTTTAACTTATAGAAAATAAAATTGCAGCAGAAGTGCATCCATTGCAGTTTAGTCAGGCCGGTTCATTGCTGCTTTTGCAAAGTTACTTTTTACTGGAAGTAACAACAAAGGAAAAAAAAAAGATTAGTGAGAGAACTCTCAAGTACTGGCAAAGGATATCCGATTCACCCAGTCCCACATCACATTTATTGTAGCAGGATTGTCTGGCTGACAAAATACAGTGAAAACATACAATTGTAGTAATATAGCTGAGAATTACTGGAGACAATGAAGTTTTTATGTAACTTGATTGGTGAGATCATCAGACTGATTTTTTTTGTTTGTGTGTTTGTTTGTGGTTTTTCTTCTTTTGCAATAATAACCTCTTGCTGTGTGAAAATAAAGCTTGTATTCCCTAATCAATTATATTTTGTTTAGATATCTGCGAATCTTTCAAAATGTGGACCTATCTAGCAATTTTTATTTTAGGTAAGTGTTTATCAGGACCCTTCTACATGTTACAGCTATCATCTAATTAACTGGTTAATTGTGGATCCTCATTTTCTCTGTTTAATCACAGAGAGAATGAAATCACAGAATCACAGATTCTCTGATAAGAATTCCAAATTCTCTGATTTAAAAACCCTAAATCCATGTTTTTTCCATGATTTAAAATGAAACAGCACTGTATATATATGTGTCAGCTGAACACAATGTTTTCTTGATATATTTAAAAATTGAAAGCAATTTGGAAGCCTACTAGTGCCTCAATCACTATAATAAAATTAATTCTAAATACCTTTACATTTTGGCATTTGCTTTTAGTTTTTTAATCATGGAAAATCAGTCTCCCCTGCCCCCTTTGCTGACCCAAATGTGGGTCTGGCTGCAGCTGTTGTTTTCCCCCTCCACAGTCGCTGCTCCATTCCGTTCCCTGACTGCGTCCTGCGGCCTCACGTTCCCACCCAGGCCCCATGCACCAGCCCTGCCCAACTCCGTCCCACACTATGGGGGCCTCATTTGCCTGATTGCCCTCCTCCTGCTTCCTCCAGCCCCTTGCAGGTTGGAACTCTGCCAGCCTGCAAGGGGAAACTTGCCGTTTCCCACGCTTTTCTCATTTTTCTCAAGAAAAATGAGAATTTTTTCTCTTTTTAAAATGAGAAAATCTGTGTTTTACTGTGTTTTTTCCATGGCGAATGGCCATGGGGAGGGGGAGGTGGGCTCCGCACTCCTCTTGGGCCGCAGCAGCCACCATCTACCATGGGTGGCATCTAGCACTTGGGAGCTACTGGGGCGAAGAGGATGGGCAGGGTGCTGTGGACCCGGGTCCCTGGCCATAATCGGAATAACATTTAGATCTGCCCTCAGTAACTGTGTGTTAAAAATTGAGATTGTCCTAGAGAATTTAAAACCTTGGTTTTAATTTCATTCATAGCTTAGAACAATTTGGGGTAGCTGGATTTCAGGTTTTACTTGCAGTTATCCAGACATGGAGACTTATGATGTTGTAAACACACTATACTAATGTTTATAAGGTGTCTTGGGGACTGAACTTAGCATTTAGCATTAAGTAACTACAGCTTGTCTCTCTTGTTTGTACTTCATTTGCTTTTGTATGCAAAATAGACAATGCAATATTAAATAGCCATACAAGTAGGGAATGAAAGTTTTTGGAAGAGTTTCATGTTTCTGTAGTTCTGACAAAAGTTTAATTTTGGCATCAGCTACAGCTATGATCTATCACACTCCCTTCAGTATAATCTTACTATCCTGAGAATGCCACTTGAGATATTAAAAACTGAAACAACTCACACTCGACAGGAGAGCTTTGATATCTTTGAAGATGAGGGACTTACAACACTAGGTGGAAGTGGTAAGTGTACTTTAATGCTAATATACTTTGCTATAATTTAATTTAGAAGAGTTTCATTTAAGTCTCTCTTTCAGAAACATTTAGCTTTTCTTTATTGATCAAGTCTCAGAACTGTCCTGACTTAATTAAAGATTACATAAAGAACCAATTACAGATATTTGAATTTGAACGGTGCCATTTCTAGAGATGATTGATCATTTATTTTGGTACGTCACATTGTAACTCCTAGAGATAATTGAACATGCTGACATTTTTAATCAATCAATTATTGAGCCTTTTTATATGAAGTCCAATAATATGACTTCCTAGATGAAATGAGAATCCATCATCAGTGGGAGTATAAATAATGCTAGAAATCTTGTTATTTTGTTTGGTGTTGGTAAATACTGATTACAGAAAAATTGCTTGCTGTTACCACCAACTAAAACTGACTGGGCTCTATGAGAGATTCCAAGCATTAATTTAAGCTGGTAATGAAAGAGTGGAAATGAAATTTTTCTATTTTGGATCTATCAAATACAGATTTGAAAGCCAATAATCATTTTTTTTTAAATAAAGAAAGAAAAAAAAATTTTTACAGTTAGGAATGCACTGACATGAAAATACTTTTTATTTTCCTTCTTGCCATACCCCATCTCCAAAGAGATCTTTGAAAGTCTCATATTTTTTTTAATAGGGTACTTGGTTTTCCTTCCTTTAACACTTCATACTGATTACATTATCACAGCATCATCAACAAATTAAACTTACAAGTTTTGCTTTTTGATTCGTCTGTGTAGTGTTTGTATAAGTGGGTCTACAAATTTGGTTTTCCTTTATTGAGTGCGAGTAAAGAACTGGTTGTTATCTGGGAATAGACTTTCATTCCCATGGTTGCAGCAGTTTTCTTTCTGGCAGATATAGAGAGAGAATTTTCCTGTTTTAAGGATTTATGAAGCAGTGTTTACAAAATTTACAAAGCAATGCTTCTTTTTAATCGAAACAGACTTATACATCTGGAACTGCATGGATGGTTCCCAACACATTATCACTCATTACTGTGCTAAAAAAAAAAAAGAAAGTTCTTGGATTATATCATTGTGGAGACTAGTGTGGGAATACAGTGCTTCATATACATGGTTCTAGACTTTTTTTGAGACCGTGCTGTTTGATGCCAGTTATTCACTCTGTTCTTGGCATTCTCTACCAAGGCAAAAACAGCAGGGTGGTCAGAATGGTGCCTGTAGTCTTACGTAGTGTTTAGATTATAGGTTGTATAGCATGGTTTGGATAGGGATGATCCTGTGCCAGGCTTGTTGGCTTTATTACCGTATTTTCTTGCATACAACATGCCCCAGAATAAGATTTACACCTTGATTTTGAAGGGTAGAATGAAGAAGAAAAGATCTTGCCTTGTAGGATGTAACTTGAATAGCAGCATCTGTGGAGTTGAGCCTGCTCTGTGTTTTGCTCCCCGTGGATTGCATTCAGACTTTTACTTTCACTTTCTCCTGGCCAGAGTTTAATCAGGAGAAAGTTCTGTTACCATATTCCCTTGCATATAATGAATGTTCCAAGTTGGAGCAGCAGTCTTTTGTGAAAAAGGTGCATGAGAAAATAAAGGAGGGCAGTGTTTAATCTTCCTGAACAACAGGCACAGCAGAGGTTTTACTTGACTTCAGGGAAATCATGCTTCCCAAGCTTTTACTTGATATCCTAATTTTTGTCTGTAAGGACTCAAGAGGGAAGTTACCAAGTTGGAACCCCGCCTTCCAGAGCACCCTATAAAGGTCTAATCAGACCCAGAGGAAATAAGCTACAGAATCCTACAAATAGACAAACTAACATTATCTAGAGCCACATCAAGCAGATATGTGAGGCCTGAATTCCACAGGCTTGGTCTATGGCACCTGTCAGCTCCAGTCCCATGTGTTGTGTGCAGTGTACATCAAGCAGATGTGTGAGGCCTGAATTTCTACAGGTGAAGTGATGCCAAGGAAAGCCCTGGAAAGACCTCAGTATCAGCACTGAAACCAGTATCAACTTTTTTAGTGATGTTGGCATTCAAAAGTCAGGTGTTAAAGGGGTCACTCAAGGAGAAAGTAAAGAGTTCAGTATCCTCAGGGGCATGCACAGCATAGCCTCTGGAGAAGAGTTTTCCAGTCCTTAATTATTTCAAGGGATAGAGGTGAGCAAGCTGCCTTAGGGGAAAAACATGGATAGCATCAGATCCATTAGAGGTACTGAGCCATCCATTGGCATGGGGTCAGATATGATATTGCCAGAGCTATTCATTGGCACAGGGACAGATACGATATTGCCAGAGCCTCCATCACCACTGCCTCTTAAGGAGGTTTACTTCTCACTGGTATTTGGGGCGCACGTTTTTCTCATTGCTGAGCAAGGAGTTGTTCTCAGTCTCTGGTCTCTGAGCACCAGCCCACCTAGACTCACCTTTTTTCGAACCAGCAATTTCCAAGCTCTTGGTCATGGCAACGCTCTTGGGGATATTGTGCATGCCTTCACAGACTATAAAGAGCCAAAGTCCACCATCAGGAAAGGAATTTCTCTCCCCAGTGACGTCCATCATCTGTGATCTGACCATGGATAGCTGAGTGGAAGTGGATCCACAAATGTAGAAACATCAGTAGCGTGTGTCATTTATCAGAGGATCTCTGAATGAAATACTATCCTTAACACTACTACTGACATTGGATGACTTTAGAGTTCCCACTGGGATCTCTTGGTGTTCCTAGTTGAAATTCTGGAAAATAAGATTTTGCCCTCGGAGAAGTCCCAGGAGTAATTTGACATAATCAGCTTCTAGTCCTGCCAGGATCATCTTCTCTGTGAATGAATAGCCATTAAACAGAGAGAGCAAAATGAGTTAAGAGGTATTGGGTTCCCATCCCTCCTTTCAAAATTTTCATACTTCTGAAGTTTCCCTAATCTGAGCCTCTTATTTGCATCAGTCAAGTAACAGCAGTTCAGATAAAAACAAGTTTGCTGAAGGACACAGACTCATGTTCCTGGGAGAAAGCTTTTTTTCCTTAGCCTGGCTATAGCTGTGTGCGGCTAACAGTCATACCCTTCTGGCCAAGTGTGACTGGTTTGTGCTGCGTGTGGCTCCCATGTCTTGACTAGTCCTTTTGTTCTGGATCTGGCGCGCAGGGTGGGTCTATGGCACCTGTCAGCTCCAGTCCCATGTGTCATGTGCAGTGTACACCAGACCAGCTCCATATGCCTTGTGCAGCATGTGGCTGTGGTCTGAGATCCACAGACAGCACTGAAGGTCAGATGATAGGCCTCCACGAGCTGGATCTGGGCCACAGGCCAGATCTTTGCCATCTTGGTGTATAGCTTATTTTACCAGCACGGTTAGAGCATTCTGAAAGAGAAGCAAGCAAGCATCAAGAGCCTGACTTTTGAGGTCTTGGAGCTATTTGATGAAGAACTGAGAGAAATAAAGGAGGATCCCACAGTTTTTTCTTCCTGAGCAACGTATGTTGTTCCTCTGACACATTAGCAAATTGAGAGGCAGTGAAGAGTCTCATCAGATCCAGTCTAAAGAACACCTTCTTTAGAAGCCACATTACCACATTCTACTATGCATATTGAATAGATGGGTATTTAGGATGCCCAGCCATGATTATTTTCTTGTAATCATAGAGAATGATCATAGAGAAGTAGAGCTGGAAGGGCCCTCCGGAGGTCACTTAGTCCAGCCCTGTGCCTGACGCAGGATCATCCTTATCCAAACCATTTTATACAATCCATAATCTAAACTCTGTGTAAAACTACAGCCAACCTGATGCAACACAGACATAACACCCTAATCTGCCACAGGTAAAGCAGGGGAATCATTGCAGCCAATGTCCTGTTTCTATAAAAGGTTGTCAGTATATACTTAAGAGATCCCAGGTAGAAGGTCAAACCTCCCACTACAGAGGAAGGCAAACCCCCCCACAGTCTGTACCAATCTGGATGTTGGGGAAAAAGTCCTTTCTGACCCCAAATATGGCAGTTTTACCCCGAGTGGAGGGGCAAGACCCTCTAGCCAAGAACCACTGGCTTTCATTCTAAAAGGATCACTGGCACATCCCAGTCAAAATCCCCAGCCTTGGCTATAGCCAACACCCAGTGCCTCTGAGGGAGGCTTAAAAATACCTGGCCCCACACAGCAGAAAGGGGCAATGGGGGCAACCAGCAAAGCCCAGCAGTATGGGAAATGCCTATAGTAGAACATAGGCGTAGCTTGACCTGGAGCATCCCCAGCCTCTTCTTGAACACCTCAAGTGATGGAGAGGCCACAACTTCCCTAGGCCATCTTTTCTACTGCCTCGTTGTTCTAACAGTGAAGCTTTTCCTGACATCCAAACCTCCTCTGCTGCAACTTGAAGCCATTGATCTGTGTCCTTTCTGCAGCAAGAGTGAAAAGGTACACATCCTCTTCTTGGTAGGGGTCTTCAAATACTTGAAGGGCTGCCATAATGTCCCCTCAAGTGCCTTTTCCACAAGCTGAACATGCCTAGCTCCTTCAGCCTCTCCTCATATGACTTGCTTTCCAAGTCCTTTATGATCCTTGTTGGCTGCCTCTGAACCCTCTCTAACTTCTCCACGTCCTTTTTAAAATGTGGAGCCCAGAACTTCACACAGTATTCCTAATGACGCCTAACCGGTGCCAAGTATCACCTCCCACATCTTGCATCTACTGCTTCTCTTACCTTATACACCCCTTTTCAGGGACCCTTCTCATAAAAGCCTATTGCAATGAGAGATGCTTCCTCTGTCTAGGAGCCACAGAGGCAGTTCCTCAGGACTGAAGAGGCTTCTACTCTTGATGTTTCCTAATACTAAAGCAAACAATATTTGTCCTATTGCAGGCCTAAGAAAGCAGAGCAAATGCATATACTATCTCAAGTTTGGGATGGGATCATTTGCTTGAGTCACTCCACCCCTCCTGGCTCAAAACGGTGCTATCTGTCTGTGTGCAGAATGCATGGCCACCCCCTCAGCACACA